TGCAGGCTTCATTCATATCTATATGTCAGCTTTAGCTGATTTCCAAGAGGTTGAGTTGTTCTTCGCTAGGCAGTTATTCATTTGGCTGTATAACTCCTCCAGTTAATAAAACCTCAGTAAGTGCCGATAGAATTCAGTTGAGGCTAAACAAGTACAGGAGCAGCGCGACATGGCGATAGTAGTGTTTAGATGGCACGACCTGCAAAGGCGAAGGCATTCTCTATAGTTTAGCAGGTCCTAGAAGAGTTTTCAGCCCATTCAATCTTATATCGCCTATCTGCCCCGATCAATGTGCAAATAGGCTGAAGACCGTGATCAGAACCAGATAGTTGCAAAACTATCATTATTATTTTCCTACCTAGTAATGACATTGCGTCTAGACGTCATTTTCCAATGATGGCCGCATTTGGCAACTCGTAGAGGCTAGGTTAGTCAGCCTGTGAGGCCTGACCACATTTCAAAACAAGCGAACTCACTTTTGCAACGAACTTCTCTGGGAGCTCCTTGTCCTTTCCCTGCCAATCAGGATCGATGAGCAGAATCTTTGACATGAAACCCTGAAGAGAAGTGATTTCGCATTCTGGTTGCTCACCAAAATCATGGTTGTTCCTGACGGATACTAGAATGAAATCGTGAATCTTCTACTCTCTTATATTCTTGCAACATGTCACGATCTAGTACGATTTCACGACCTCTAGGATTTTTTCGAAAAAAAATTTTGCTGTCCCACCTTGCTCTTGCATGATTGGATCACTACGGGTCTTCTAGTTTTGAGAGCCTATCCGAAGGTCACGTATCAAGAGCTTTGACTTTTCCGAGGCTTTTGATCTGTTTGACGAGCCTCTCTTATCGAGCTCTTTCTCATTTCCTCACTGACGCCGGTTGAAGGATTCATTATCTAAGATGCACAGCTTTGGGAAAACTGACTGCCTTCTTGAATGCTAGATCTTCTTTTGAAAGGGCTGTCGTAGAAGTATAGCATAACTCCAGCCTAGTGTACGAAATGATGCCCATCGGTTGGACTCGTAGTCAAAGTGATTTTTAGGTGCTTTGTTCGCTTTCTATCTGGTACAAAGGTCAGAGTCACGGTTCTAAAATCCTACCCACTTCGCAACGGACGCCAATGGAATGGCTTAGAAGGGAGATTCAGGGGTGCGCAGCTAGCCGGGAGTGAGCGGGCAGAACTTGAGATCGTCCAAGGCAGTCAGCTTCTCGCTACGTCCGCGTGGAGAGTGACATCCGTCGGTAGCGCGCTTACAATGTCCTCCCACAGAAGGTGGACTTGGAAACTGCCAGCCATCGAAGGTGAACACTTGAACTGTGAACGGATTTTCAGAGCAGCCTCTTTATCAGCGTGGAGCGTGCTAGCCAGCAGTATCAGGAAACCATGAATAGATTCAAATGAGGCAGCTTCCAGCAAAAGCGAAAAGTTTGTTTGGAATAGGGCAAAAAATCAAGTGAATTTTGTTGTTCGAGAGAGCGATCGACGCTTTATTGGCTTAACTTCCTCGACCTTTGTGGGCATTTGAGAAGGAGATATCCACATGATAGATATATCTGCTAATGAAATTGCTTAAATATTGCATCGTCGTCTAAATATCGAAATTAAGGATGCAGTAGTGCTCAATTTTCAGACCGTATTTCAACGACGATCTGTGACCTTGTTAGTCAAAACAATGAATCTCGGAGAACCAATCTCATATAATATTCCTCTCTTGACTGTATTGAGTTTTCAAGTTGTGCGATTTTGCACCTCATGACAAAGGTGCAGAAAAAGTGCAGAAAAACTAAGAGCAATAGGAAGTTTTCGCGAGGATGCTGACTATGGGCAAAAGTTAGACAGCAGACGGGACTCTGAGAGGGTAGGGGCGGCCCCGGTAGCCTAACTGATATCGCAACCTTCCGGTAAGCGGGTGATGCGGGTTTTAGTCCCGTCTAGGGTCTGATATTTGTCCATAACTCAGCATCTTGTGATAACTGAGAGCGTTTTGCGGCGTTAAACAGCACTTATCATACTAAAACAATCGGAAGTTTACTACCGGGACCGTAAAAAGTGTTCACTTACGTTGCCCTCTCCAATATCCTTGACGGATTTATTTGGGCCGAACGAAGCCTCGGTGTTCAGCTCACGTTGCATGTCTTCTTCAATGTCCTCCCAAGTGACATGTGTACCGAAAAGACCTTCGCCTAGCGTGTACAGGTTCATAGCGGACTCACCTATAAAAAAATGAGAAATAGAACCCTCAGAAGCAGTTCCCACGACTGTCTATCATAGGTAATACAGTTCAAAAATAGGATTGTCGTGTGCTAGTTGACTAACCGAAGAAGAAGAAACCACGAAAAACCGCCCGCAATAAGACCCTCTTTATTGCAATTGATCGTGATCACTGGACGAGCATAAGATGGTCAAGATCAATTGTGATTTGCAAAAGGCGACGATACACTGAGAAGAGAGGAGAGAGACCAGAAAACGGCGGGCGAGAGAGCACAATGGCATCGTCACGATGACACGGGCGACGTAGGCCGGCATGGGCCTATTGGGCGCCATGGGCCTAAAACGTGCCCGACCTGCGTTTTTCCTTGCCAGTTTTCACCTTTTTGATGTAGCACAACCTTTGCGGTTGCCTATTGGTCATAATCCATTTTCAAGACATTCTAGCCTTAGTTGTCGCGGACCGTGCCTTTAAATCCTACGACGACGTGCTTAAATTCAGTTTCAGGCTGACCTGATATCAACCCCCGATAGTCATTATGAAAACGTATTCGGCACTATTTAAGGACATCCTACTCCATATCCAGTAGACGAAGAGGGCGTGGCTGCGTGCCGCATGAAAACATGGTGTAGCATCTGTTTTCGGTAGAATATTTCTACTTGAGGCACCTGCCATCATGAGATATGATCACCAGAAGTACAACACCTCAGCAAAGGCGCAGGTGATGTCACGTTTGGAAGAAGTACGCCCATCCGCTCCCACGCTGGCGATACTATGCTTCAGGACCTAAATTGATTCCACAGAGTATGGAAGTTTTGTATTTATATGTCGAATCAACCAGTGTCAGGAAATACTAGCCACTTTGTGCGGTGGATATAACATTCCCCATCCATTATGTTGTGAAAACCTCAAATGCTAGAAGAAATTTTTCACTGAAATTTCCTTGCTTCTTCCCTGGAACTTGTTCTATTGCAAGGAGTCGTTACTGGAGATTATTCAATTACCCTGATTACGAAAATCACATCCACTTTTGGCATCGGCGCCATTGCGCGCCTGGGCTGACTTGGCGTCACAACTTTCATCACCTTAAAGGATAAGGATAGAAGTCATTCGCCGCGGCGGACAGGCCGATGTACAAGTCAGTGTTTTATCCTCCCAGACGAATCTGGTACCCAATTTACCGTCCCCGGAGAGTAGAAGGCTGGTTGGCCTGAGGCGGGTGTCGACCCGGGATTCGAACCCTTGCGCCGCGCGAAGTGGTAAAAGGCAACGCCTTTGTCACAACACACCTCCGCCTTCATAACCTTATACGTCATAAACCCTATTTGGAGGCAATCATAGTTTTGGCCACCAGTATGGCATTCATTTTTGAATTCGATGCCAAAATTAATGAGATGAAGTCTGCCTGAGAGGGGTGGCCTTTTGTAAACGATGAAGCTACTTAAGGATATCAACTTCGGTGCGCTAGTTTGTCGATCCGGTGGGGGCATTTTGTATTAATCATTTTCCTAGTTCCGGAAATCTCACTCTGGTAAAACTTGTGAACTCTTGTGAAGCTGAAGTAAGATTGTCTAGCCACTATCCTGAAACGTGTCAACTCGAGAAACGGCTACCTAGATGGGTCGACACATCTATGGAAAGCAAAATGCCCCCTCGTCGACAAACTGCGGCCTCAACTTCGTTCTGTATACTGACCCTTGGTCACAACTGAAAGCCATGCTAGGCCAAAAAACAGTGAGACCACTGAAAGAGAAATGCACTCTTAGATCATTTTCCGCATGCAGGGGCAGGATATTTCCGCATGCAGGAGCAGGATAAGTTTTCACCCTGGATATGTAAATCGGAGGTTCTCGAGTTTTATACACTCCTTATCCAGAGCCAGAGTAGGCGTGGCATTTGAACAAGGCACGGAATCGGTTACTCGTGGAACATTCCAGTCTGGGGCTACTGTCACCTTGTCACAGAGACACGAAAACATTTGTGTCAAGATGAAAATATCTCACCAGAGGCCTTCAGGTTATGTTTGAAGCACGCAGCCACGCCTACCCAATCTCAGGGATTTCGGGTATATCTCCGGAATACGTCAAACCGATGTGCCTGGAACTCCGGGAGAAGGTTCTTGTGAGCCTGACCGTTTCCCACACCGGTATGCGAAGAACTCGTAAAGAGGAAGTGAAGATGCTTACGTGAGGTCTTGTATCGTGGGAATCGAGTGCAGTTAGACCTTAAAGGATGTTGCACTGTGCGTAAAAATGACTCGAAAGTATGTTGTGGGAGGTTATAGTACTTTTGGAAATGAGCAAATCAATCTAATAATGGGCGACGGTGCGGAATCGTTTCGAGGTTTGGAGAGACCACCTTTCATTGGATGCAGAAACTAGTTTTGCACAAACCAGTCAGTAAATCCACTCACGGGATCCTCTCCGAAGCATGGGGAAAAATTCTCATCCACTTGGATTACAACAGACTATTTGAACCTTGCGAAACTGAATGCTATCCATAGAACATGAAAAGTCTGAAGATTTGGAATTCCTAGGAAAACAGTTAAAAGCATATTAGGCTGGAAAGAACGTACTGTCACTGTTGCTATCTTTTATTTTCTGGCTTGAGATAGAATAGAAATCAACCAACAGTATGATAGATATTGTTAGACAGTGCTTCACCTGATGAGCAGGTCAGCGACCCCCTCCTCCCACAAGAGGGTAGGCTGCGCGTCAAACAAGCCTGCAATCGTAGGGGCCTATGACAGGAGAATATGGTGAGCGGTGTATGGTCTCCCAGTCTCGTTCCTCAACCGGTCAGTCCCCGTAGTAGGTATGGGGTCTTGCGTCATCACAAACGAGGTGCCTCGAAACT